GACTTTCTATAATGCTAAAGTCCACTTGGCTTGATGGCAAATGAAAGAGGAAGTGCAGTTAAATTATACTATCCTCCCATGGCCCAAGGCCTCACTCAGTCACTGACAGGAATTGGCATAAAACTCCTTGATCTTCTGGAGACATTCATGATGACTCATCCAAGTGAGATTAAGTAATAATTAATTGGCGACATGCCATGACAGTGTCTTTTTGTGTGTGTGTGCCAGTCCTAGGTCTTGAACTCAGGGCCTGGGCACTGACCCTGACCTTCTTTTGCTCAAGGCTAGCCAGTGCCACTTCTGGCTTTTTCTGTTTATGTGGTGCTGAGGAATTGAACCTAGGGCTTCATTTGTTCTATGTAAGCACTCTACCACTAAGCCACATTCCCAGCCTGGCAGTGTCCTTTAACTTACCTATTTGAAGTACTTGCACTTGAATCCCATCTAAAGGTCTTATGAGAAAACCCAAATGAAGGCACCTCTCTGAGTACTACCTCAAAGCATTTGCATTTTAATTGATTTTGTAAATTATAGAATTTAAGGATGTAAAAGGTTGCCCCAAATCATCCAGCAGAGAAACTTCATCTTTCTGAAAATGGAACCCTCTTATCGAGGGAAGGATGTCACTTGCTTAAAGTGAACAACTACTTAGTAGAGGAGACAACACTTGAATCTGGTCTTCTCTCTGTATGGAATCTGAGGGGAAATACCTGATGGTAGTCTCCACAAGTGTGAGGAAGTACAAACGTGACCTATGTTACTTCTCCTGTAACTATAACAGACCTTACTAGTAGGTATTACTACAACAAACTCAGATAGCTTGAGAGTCTTTACATTAACCCCATGCAAAATCTATCATTTGGTTAGAAGTAACTCATGAAACAAAAGCCATTTCCATGCCTAATCTATTTCAAAGGTTCTGAATTTTCTTTGCTTAGAATAGCCAAGGGATATTTTATTATCCACTCCCTGTAACAAATAGAAAACTCCTGAAGGAGTGAGAATCTTTTCACTTGCTAAGAAATTTCATCTTCCCTTCATAGAAGGAGGAACAAGGGGGAACAAGGAAATTCTTAGGTAGTGAGATTATTCAGTAAGACATTGTTGTAGTAGACATGTAGCAGTGTGCATTTGTTTTAAGTGAATTGAGCAATATACAGCACAACACATATACTGCAGTGTAAGCTATGATTTTAGTTAAAAAGATGCACCAGTATTAGTTCATAATTCATATCAATACCATGTAGATGGAAAAAGTTAGTAATAGGGGAATAGGGAATGGATACTTTGGGAAATTTCTACTTTCTGCTTTAAAAACAAAGTCATCTCATTAGAAGATCATAATAAACCTAAAAACTATAACATTAGAAACATAACAATTAGAAGATACAAACATTGATAAAAAACAAACATCACTTAGGACATTGTGTTTAATTTTAGATGTCACAATTGTGAAAAGTAAATCTGTTTATTGAAGAGAAACTGAGGCTGTGAAAGGACTCAAAACTAGGCCACACAGGAAGAACAGACACTAATAGGGAGAACTAGAAAAGAATATATTTGGGCTTACCATTAATGGTAGTTGTCCTGTAACACTTGAAGGTCTGCTGTACAAAAGATCTGTTCTGCAACACTACAAGAAAGAACAAAGACTAATAGGGAGAACTAGAAAAGAATGTTTGGGCTTAACATTAAGTCAAAATTTAAATAGGATAAATATAGCCAGTGTGGGAGACGGAGTTCTCAGGCAAGTGGAAGATAGACTACCATTTGGTGGGCTGATTTTGCATCTAACATTTGTTTTTGCTTCTCTTCCATCATATCTCTTTTCATTGAATTTATTAACCTATTTTCGAATATATATTGCTGGTAAAATTCACTTATCAGAATGCCTTTCTGTCAGAGGTGATAACAGTGCAAAGATGGAAGATACAGAAATAGTTGAACATTATCAGTAATGGTGCTTTATATCGATTGAGACGTATAGCTGTTTCAAGCACAACTAACACTTGTTATTTCTTATCAACTCAATAGCTTATATTTCCCATTTAGTCTTATTTTAATAATTGTAATAGTTTTGTTTATCTAATACCCGCTATGTGTCAAGCATTTTACAAATAGGATCTCACTTTATATAATCCTCACCATGAGCCTATGAAGTAGTTTGTATATAATTTTTAGTATTTATGTATTTATTTATTCATGATTTAATGGTGGGTTACAGTTACAAAAGTTAGGTAATGAGTACATTTCTTTTTGAATAGTGCAACATCTTCCCTCTCTTTCTTTTTTTTTATTGTGAAAATACCGTACAGAGGGGTTACAATTACATGGGCTAGGTAATGAGTACATTTCTTATCAAGCATTGTTGCTTCTTCCTTTGTTTCCCCTTCCCATCCCTTCCCATCTCCTCCCGCCACCTGTGGCCCCTTCCTAGGGTTATACCATGGGGGAGGGACATACAAAGCAACAAAGAAATATCTTATAAATATGTTAGAAACAATAGCAAGAAAGGAAAAAACGTTTGAGTCTTTATCTTAGGGTTCATTTCGCCTAACATCAACTTGTCTGACCTTTTCTGCTTGTCTCAGACATATACTAGTTATTGCAAATAAGGAAAACCATGGGACCTATGTTTCTTTGGGCCTGGCTTACTTCACTGAATATATTTTTTTCCAAGTCTTTCCATTTCCTAACAAATGGGGCGATGTCATTCTTTCTGATGGAGGTATAGAATTCTATTGTGTATATATACCACATTTTCTTGATCCATTCATCTACTGAGGGGCATCTGGGTTGGTTCCATATCTATGGTAAATAATGCTGCAATAAACATAGTCGTGCTGGTAGCTTTAGTATGGTCTTGTTTGTGATCATTTGGGTAAATGCCCAAAAGTGGGATTGCTGGGTCATAGGGAAGATCTATGTGGAGTCTTTTGAGGAACCTCCATACTACTTTCCAAAGTGGTTGAACAAGTTTACACTCCCACCAACAATGCTGTAGGGCCCTTGTGTCTCAAGTGGTAGAGCACTCGCCTTGAGCTGAAGAGCTGAGGGATAGCGCCCAGGCCCAGAGTTCAAGCCCCATGACCCACCAAAAACAACAACAGCAACAAAATCACCTCTTCCCTCCCTTTCTCCCAGTTTTTCCCTATGTGTCCCCTCCCCCAACAATGCATATAGTTCATTTTCAACATAATGTCAAGTGAGAATCACTGCTGAATTTGTTCACCCTGTGTCCCACCATTTTTGTGCTCCCCTTATCCTTCCCAAAATAGATAAACTTACAGATAAGACAAATGGTACAGAAAACAAAAAGTGACAAAGGACAAAAAGAAAAAAAAACAAAAACAAAAAGCAAAGTAACAAAAACCTCATCTACATTTCTTGGAGTGCATTTCAAAAAACATCATTTTATATGATCATAAGTACATAGCTATTGAGCCTTTGTGATCCTCTTCTAAGAATATACTTCTTTGGTCTCATTGCATGACTGTGTAGAGTCCTATATAATTGTCCAAGTGTATATTTTTGTCTTTTACCATCCATTGTGTCCACTTGTGGATTTATGCATACATTCTAGTTACAAAAAATGAAGGAAATCATGCAATATATGTTCCTTTGGGTCTGTCTTCCTTCACTTACTGTAATTTTCCAAGTCTTTCCATTTCCTTACAAATGACACACTAACATTCTTTCTCATGGAAGCATAGAATTCGAATTCCATGCATATATATGACACATTTTCTTGATCCATACATCCATACATACTCTGGGGCATTTGAGTTGGTTCTGTATTTTGGCTATGGTAAACAATACTACATTGAGCATGGTTGTACTGGTAGCTTTAGTGTGGCCTTATTTGTGGTCTATTGGATAAATGCCCAGGAGTGGAATTGCTGGGTCATAGGGAAGCTCTATGTTTAGTGTTTTGAGGAACCTCTGGTATATACTAGTTTTTTTCATCCTTGTGCACCTTCGCAAATATTTGTGAAACACCTGTTGTCCAACAGGCTCAGACCATAATCAAGAATAAAAATGTGAGGGCTGGGAAGGTTGCTCAGTGGTAGAGTGCTTGCTTTGTATGCATGAGTCCCTGGGTTCAATTCCTCAGCACCACATAAACAGAAAAGGCCGGAAGTGGTGCTGTGGCTCAAGTGGTAGAGTGCTAGCTTTGAGCAAAAAGAAGCATTAGGGACAGTGCTCAGGCCCTGAGTTCAAGCCCCAGGACTGGCAAAAAGCAAAACAAAACAAGAATAAAAATGTGAATGAGACACTGTCCTCATCTCCAGCAATGATTCTAGTCTGTCCACTTGGTAATGCTGGGCTCTCCATACCCCTTAGCATGATTCCAGGTGCCTTCTCTAAATCTGTAAGACTGCTATTCTTTCTTAAAAATATATACCTGTTCCTTCTTGTTTGGTGTTTAATGGTTGCTTGATAGTGAAGATTTTAACTTTCTTGTACTTGCTAGGCAAATGTTCTACCCCATGAGCCATAGCTTTAGATTATTTTTTTTTCATATCTCTTGCAGTTTTTGTCTGGGTAAGCTTTGGACCATGATCTTCCTTCATATTCTCCCTGTGCAGCTGAGTGTTTACCATAATGTCCAGCTTGTTTGTTGAGATAGAATTTTGCTAGTTTTTCTCCCCAGACTGACCTTGAATTTTGATCTTCTCACTCATGCTTGACAAGTAGCTGCAATTATAGGTGTAAGTCGCTGGGCCCAGCCCAAACCTGTTCTCCCCCCTCTCCCCAGATTTCATATCTATATTATGTGATTCTCCAAGTCTTTTGTCCTCAGATAGGATTATTTCCATTAAAAAAGATGAAGTGATCCTGGTTTCAATGGTAAAAATTACCCTTTCATCTTAGAAAAATCAGTTGAGAGAACAAAGCTAAAATTTGTCTAACAACCAGATATGCATTAGTGAATAATTACTGAATGTATTTTTAGTGAATGATTCATGAATAATTCTTTCAGGAAGAAATATAAAATACTATCGTCTGAAGGTAATAAGATACTCAGGGTATGCTTGGTAGTCATAAAATATTACAAATAAGCTTGGATTTTGAATGTTATCTACAACAGTGTCATAAAGGTGAGTAGGATTTTGAGGGTTCTTTGCAGGAGGCTGTATGACTGATTTCCACGTGCATATTCTCCAGTGAGGATGCGAACATAATACATGTGCTTTTTCCCATTTGCATCTGGTCTGGCATATGTGTCCTGTGCAGAATAATCAGCACTGACAGAAAAATAGGTTCCCTTTCCATAAAACACAGCTGTGAAGAGAAAAACAATACATTTTTAAGAATTTCAATGTAGTATACAACTTGACATGTGGTCAAATAGTATAAAAATGTTCAAGTAGGGTACTGGTTGGGCCAACAGCATCGTATCTGTAATCCTGGCTACTCAGAAGGCTGAGATCAGAGGACCACAGTTTGAAGCCAGTTGAGGAAGAAAAGTTCATGAGACTCTATTGAAAAAGTAGCCATCAAAAAGCTGGACTGAGGGCATGGCTCAAGTGGCAGAACACAGCAGCATAAGCAAGCAGAATGAGAACCAATTTCTGAGTTCAAGCCACATAACTGACAAAAAACTATTCAGTTTTTTTTTGGGGGGGTGAGGGTTTTTTTTAAAGTTTTAACAATAAAATATTCCACATCTCAGGGCCAGTCAGGCCTTTGAGGAGGAAATACAATGAATCCTACCCTGAAACTTGGACTTAACATGGCCACTAAATGTGGAGCAGACACAGTGAACACATATGGTCCCCAAACAGCATGTTGGAAATCCACTACAGCAGCCAGATTCCTCACTTCCTTACCATTCTTCCCCACATAGTTGCAGTTAAAGCCATTTTTATTGACATGTGCACAGAGCCAGCTTCTGTCCCATGGAAGAGCTGCCTCTCATTCTGTTTGTGGCCATTTTTGGTATCCATGGCATTTTGCTTTGCCTGGTAGATATTCCAGAGATCTGTATTCTGGATTCTTTCGATCTAGAAATTAACAAAGAAAAATCATCCTGATAGTGCCAAGATCCATCAAACAAAGCACAATCACTATTTTTCATAAATACTCATTTCACTCAACAGCAACTTCAATGTAAGATGATAAATTCCTCATTTAGAAATATTTTTAGATCCAGCTTCTCATAAACATAGACATTGAAGCAAATGTTGGCCTACTATTGCTAGTAATAGGTGAGTGGCATACACAGCCCAAGATGCATTGTATACATAAGCTACTTTGGTAAATGACAAAAAAATTCAATATGTAATGTGAAATTAAGTAAGGGAAGGGATGGGTTGGAATGGGTGGGTGGGAATGTTTAAAGTGGTGACATTGGTCAAGATGCACTGTATTCATAAACTGCTTCAGTGAAAGGCAGCTTTTTTATACAATGACTTCAAGATAATAAAAATATTCAAAAATAGTAATTGGATATCATAATTTTCAAAGAATTTTATGTATATTAGAGAAAAAACAAGTAAATCACTATTGCTAGGAAAACAATTATATGAAAAGACACCCATGCACGTGTATGGATACACACACAGAAACACATATACTTTAAGACATTAAGTAAACTGTTAGTCAGGTTCAGAGAATCAAACTTGTAATCCAGGTTGGGAGGATTATGATTTATGGCCAGCTGAGGAAAAATGTTTGTGAGACAAGATCTCTACCAATAGCCTAGCACAGAGGTTCGACCTTGTCATCCAGCTCTGGGAGGAGTAGGGGTTGGGAGTAGCCCTACTTTACCTTTTTTCCATCAATTTTCCTCATTTATTTTATTTAAAAGTTTAGTATACATTCTTTGTAGGGCACTTTTATTTTTTTGGATTGTTATGGGTTTAACAATGATTAAACCCAGAGTGGTAGATAAATAGAAAAAAAATACCAAGAAAGAAACTTTGTCTTATTGGCAGACTTGTTGCTACTGATGAAGGAGAGATATGCAAAGATTTCTGACTTTACTCAGAAAGTAGTGGAATTATGGAGAGAAATGGAGAAGGAAGGGAAAAGAAAATTTTTTTTCTTTTTGCTACTGGGAACATGTTCTAAAATCTCAATTCAAAGATTCAAATTGATAATGTTAATTTTGGGGCTATCAACATCAAAATAATAGCTGAGGGCTGGGAAGTTGGCTCAGTGGTAGAGCGCTTGCCTTGCATGCCTGAGGCCCTGAGTTCGATTCCTCAGCACCACATAAGGAAAAAGAAAAAAAGCCAGAAGTGGCGCTGTGGCTCAAGTGGTAGAGCGCTAGCCTTGAGCTGAAGAGCTGAGTGACAGTGTCCTGGAAAATAAAATAATAAAAAAATGACTGGAGAAAAGAAGGCACTAATAGAAAGCTTAGTAGTAAATTAGTGATTTACAATTCTTACAGAATAAATACCTCCCCCCCCCCCAATTCTATCACATACTGTAGGCTTTTTTAAATGTCATCTGGTAGATACCTACAAGCAAGGTGGAGATTTTGTTCAAAAATGTCCACTAGCCAATATCTCAGCACCAACCAACTTAACTTTTAGTTAAGAGAGAGCTGATCCCAGCTCTCGGTGCTCCTCTCTTCCTGTTAAAGAATGCCAAGTAACCTTTCTTCTTGGATCAGTAATGACCTCAAAAAGCAGAATGTGGGACTATATGTAGAAACAACATACTCATAAGATAGAAAAGCATAACATTTGACTCCATCATCATTTAACTTATACATGCATACATATTCTCTCAAGATAGTTTGGAGGATCTGATTTAAAGCAAAATAATTTTGTAAGATACCCAGGACAGGAAGCTACTTGCTACAATCTATAATTCTTGGTACTTAAGTTATCCAGAGCTTCCAGGAAGTCTTTTGTCCCACACTGAGTGAGAGTTCATTTGACCAGAAAGGCTCAAAGATACTACAAACAGTTTCATTCCTGTGTCCAGCATGTTCCTTATCATATTGCTCAACTATGAAAGCCACTGCCTAGACAAGACCATGAGACCCCCCTTCCAGTGAAAGAACATAAACAACAGCTCACCAAGTCACACGGTCGGTGTAAAAAGTTAGTCCCCTAGCCAAGGTGGTTTGATAGACTAAGTATCCACTTGGATTATCCCTGTTGAAGATGCTCACATATATTTTGGATAAAGAGAACAGACTTCTTTGACAATAGCAAGAATGATAAAAAAACACTCATCAAAAGTGAACAAAGAGGATTTGTTCAAGCCTCCCCTCCACCCAACACACACACATGCTGGATAATCAAGGAGAGGGAAATTCTTCTTTCAAGGCTGTGGGTTTCGTTTCCAATATCATTTGAGAGAGTTTCAGTGGAAACACACAGATGCATTCAGAGGCTCAACAAGTATTTATTTCATTCCATCATGGAATGCAGGATTTGAATAGGTGAAGTAGGGGAAATTAAGAGAAAGACTGAGGCATGTAGAACTGTGTCATAGGCATGATGTGTTTAGCATGACATTGAAAGAGAAACCATTTAGGTTTGGGACAGAAGAAATCTGGACAAGATGCGAAGTAGAGAATCTGACTCTAGCAAAGAAATGGCGATCAAATTTAGGACAAAGACAATTTCTAAACAAATATAAAAGGCAAAGACTTAGCTCTAGGAACTGAGAAGACATTTAGGATTTGACCAACCTGGTTTATCTTGGATTCTTCATTCCCACTCTTTGGCCACCCACATACCCTCACCATGTAATGGAACTGCTATGTGGTAGTTGTTCATCTACGTGCTTGACTCTCTCAAAATACTAAGTGCTCCCAGTGGACTTTCTTATCATCTTTCCATTCCGTAGGCCCATGCACATAACTATGTAATCATACCAAAGAATGAGTTCATGAACACAGGGGTAATAAAAGAAGATAGGGCAGGGACTTTAAATGGAAAGTCACGTTTTCTGAATAGTTGGAAGAGCAAGAGAAAGTACAACTATGTTGTATGGGGAGTGGTTAGGGATGTGAATGGGAGTTTGGGGTTGTATTGAACTTGCAGTGCTTGCAGGAATTGTTGGTCAGCCATTTCTTCCCCTTGAGCAGGTATTTATTAAGAATCTGGAGGTTTCCTTTACTGATGAAGGCTGCCTTGATCACAGTTGTAAAATCAGCAAGTAAGGGGTCAGCTTTAGCTCAAATGGTAGTAAAGAACTAAAGAGGACAAGCTTGATTGCTTTTTATGCAGATCAGCAGTGCAACTGAGTTAGTGGACAGTATAATAAGTGGGCAGCAACCCAATAACACTCAAAAATTTGTACATATTTATACAAAAAATCTAATTTAGTCTCCTGTTTTTTATTTTGACTCCATCCAGGGACTACCCTAGAAAGATCTGTACCTCTCCCTTGCATCTGCTTTCTTACACTGAAGTACTTGGAGATAGAAACACTGGACTAGATTTAATAGGAAAAAAACTACAGATGGAGAAAGAGAGAGAAGCCATCGGTGGGTTACCAGAAAAGACAGATAAGTAGAGAGATAACAGATAAAAGATAGATAGATAGATAGATGATAGATAGATAATAGATAGATAGATGATAAACGAAATGTTGGCTAATCTGCTAGGAATGGATTATATGATCAATAATTAAAAGCAACAAATATATTTCAGGTGATAGGAAAGTGATAAAAATAGACTTAGATTTTTATGTAGGAACATTATGGAGAAGGTATAGAACTACAGAAAGCAAGGTATAGGTTGGTGATTGAAAGAAGGTCCAGAGAGTGACAACGGTGGTTGGCTTTATTGAGATTAAATTTTTGAAAACCTGGATATCAGTCTAATAGAGTCAAACTTCAATTCCCAAGTAGCAGAATGAGAGCTCAGTGTGGGTTCCTCTCTTACTGGAACCAAGCCTACCCATTCCCATTCACCCTGAGACTGCACACTTCTGATGAAGAAGGGCAATCCTGTAGGAGCCGAGCACAAATCCTTCAGCATTATACATAACCAGTTTCTGAGCCAGAACCAGAACTAATGATAAACCTAACACCTTAACTAATGATAAAACCAACACTATAATTTTTTGTGAAAAGTCACACACTTAACATATAGTTTGAGGAAGATAAGAAATTTAAAATTAGCAAGGACTGGGGATTTGAAAAGAAGATGGAAAGTTGAGTTTCTGATCCACTTAGTTCTGTGGAGTTAAAAGACACAGAGAGATCTGAAGCCAAGAGGCAGAGCTAGCTATTGAGTTGAGAACTAGAAATGCTCTGGACCAGATGTGTCCACTTGTGGAAGTGAATGCAGCCATACCTTCTAAAACCTGCTGGAATAATTCTATGGGAGAGACCACCAATGGAGGACTATGGGAGAGATCTGGTTACTCAGGACATAAAGAGAGGAGGAGAAGCAGGGCAGTAAAACCAAGGAGGAAAGGCAGGACATTTTTTCAAAACAAGAAAGAAATATTCATCTGCTAGCCAATTATGGCCAGGTGGAAATAGATGCACTGATATTCTTCAGGGAAAGAGAAGAGAGGAGCAAGTGAGGGATGAAGTGGAAGTTATGTAGGGAATTGAAAAAAATGAGAAAAAACTAGATAAAAGAACCAGAGTGGTGGTCTTTTTTTCTACTCCCTTCTTTTCCTTCCCCTACATTCCTTTTCTTTCCCTTTTTATTTTCAGTCTAATATATCAATACTTTCTTCAGTTTCCTCCATTTTATTTATTGCAACAGGGTTTCATAGTTGGTCAAGTAGTACTTGAACCTGTGTAAAAGTGATCCTCCTGCTTCAGCCTTCCCAGTAACTGGGACTTGTGTCACCATGCTTCATCTTTTTTCTTCTTTTACTTAAAACTCCTAAAGGCATTGCTCATCCCTTTGAGGTTGCAAAAGGGGTGCATTCCTAGGTCAAATACCTCTGTCCTCACTATGGCTAAGTGTGTATCAACCACACTGACTCAACAAATCCATGGGAAAGGGGACATGTCAGGATTTATCCTTGACATCTAGGGACTACAAACCTGTCCCAATGGCTGGAAAGTAAATGGATGAGTAATTTCGGTTTTCACATTCTTGCAACACACAGGAAATGGATCTCTTGACATTGTTTTCACCAGCAACATGGATAATATTCTTGCACTTCAATGATCCTCCATCATTATATACCCATTGTGGTTCTGTCGGGCTGGGAAACACAGAGAAAAAGATCCAAATGAGATGTTGACCTACTACTCTTGGTTTAGAAAGCAAAATGTCTCACATGGCAAGGAAGCATTTTTTTTTTTTTTTTTTTGCTAAGAAGGTCTCCAAATGCTTTCTGTGGTGAAATTTATGGCAGAATTTGTCTTTTTAGATGGGAGATTATTTTCCATCTCTCATTCTTTGTCATTAAAAAATGTAGAATTTAAAGACAAATAAGTTGTCTTCCCAACCCCAAAACTTTCCTCGATCTCTTCACATCAGTCTTCCTTTACAATTTAAGACCAAATGCTAGCATTGTGCCTTACTACTGAAGGAACATTCCATTTCTATATGTTTTCCTGCTCCTTCTAAAATGGCTTAGGAGACACCTACAGGAGAAAAGCAAGGTGGTAACATGAAAGTAAATCACTGTAGTGCATTTGGATCAGAAACATGGTCTTACTGTCATCAAAGTATGATATAGGCATATGTACGGGAATATATGCACGTGTATACAAATTTACATATATTTACATATATGTGTGTTATTACATATATATATATATATACTGATATGTAATAACTTGTAAGTTCAAAGAAGTCATCAAATATTTTTAAATCATTTGTATAAATAAGTCAAAATGATCAAGTATGGTATGGTTATAAACATTCCTTTATATGATCTATTCTGATAATTACTGCACTAGTTCAAAGCATACAAGTGAAGTACCTGCTTTGTGAATTAAATGTATTTGAGGTTGGATTTACTATTACATCTGCATCTTCTTTGATGATGTCTCCACAAGCCACCTGGAAGAAGACAGGGCCAATCTTTATTTCATACATTCCTGCATTAGGGCTGGAAACAGCCCATAGAAACCTGCCAAGAGAAAAAGTAGAGCCAGTTTCCAAATCAGCAAGAAGAAGAAGGATTCCCATCACTGCTGCTCCCAAATATCTCCTCTGTCAAGGCTTCCCTGGCTCTCTGAGAGTTTTAGCCTTTACCCTGGTCCTGGCCCTGGATTCTAGTGATAATCTGTTTCCAGAAAGGGAGTAGAGAATTTAGTGTCTATCATGATAGTACCTATCAAACATGGTGCCTTAACTGGTCGAGGTGAAGTCAGTCCCAAAAGGCCTGTCTCTCTAACAGTTAACAAGAAAAAAAAAGTCCTCAGGAAACATACAGAAGTATAAACCACCAACTAAGAACTCTGAAAAGTAAATAATAGCTGGGAGCCAGTGGCTTGTTCCTGTCCTCCTAAGCTACTCAGGAAGGCTGAGATCTGAGGATTGCAGTTCGAAGCCAGTCTGGGCATGAAAGTCCATGAGACTTTTATCTCCAATTATCAAAGTGATAGAGCACTAGACTTAAGTGAAAAAGCTCAGGGACAGCACTCAGGCCCTGAGTTTGAGCTCTCACCCTCCTCAACAACACCAGAAGGTTTTTTTTAAATTTTGTTTTTAATTCTCCTCTTTTGTCTCTCTAAGTTGTGACCCTAGCAAAACTTAGACATGCTATCTTTTAGTCAAAAGATTAGGAAGAGTCCCTGTGAATTGAATATGCGTGGAAGGAAACCTTGCTGTTGTATACACACAGTGGGTTTAAATTCATGGCCTCTTTAAATTCATGGCAAATTAACCACTTGAGCTACACTGGCAGTACTGGTTTTGCTAAGTTTTCCTGGGTTGGTTTCAATCCTGTGCTCTTCCTGGCTCTGCCTCCTGAGTAGCTAGGATTACAAGTGTTCTCCACCACATACATAGTTTTATTTCGGGCTTTTGCCCCCAAAAGAATGCAATTTCGGAACTACACATTAGCACTACGAAGAGTTAAAACTCAGATACATATTTTCTATTCCCAGAGAATCCAAGGGAAGAACTTATAATCTGACTGATGTATGTGTATGTTTTTATGGAACATTCTTGTATTTCTTTCCTACATTTTCTTTCTCTTCAGCCAGAGCACCAAGGTGATACAAGGGGAAAGCAATAAGAGTCAGCTTGAACTCTTATGGATCCCCATCTCTGAAGCCTCGGAGCCAGAAAACAGATTCTACTGCTCAGAAATGGAAAGAGAATCTTAGAAAGGTAAAAGCTGGAGCAGAGACTTCCTTGTTTTCTATGTAGAGACTGAAGGAGAATCAGGAAAATTGACTACCTCTTGAGTATAAGAACAACAATAGATGCCAGGCCTAATGTGAAAGCATCTGCTATAGCAATGACCCAGGTCAGTAGTATAAGGGTTTAAACTCAAGGATAGGTAGGCAGACACTCTACCACTTAGGATCTGCCTCCAGTTTTTTTGCTTTGGTTATTTTTGAGACAGGTATCCCTTTATCCCTGGGCCAACATGGACTGTGATCCTCCTATTTTTTTTTTTTTAAATTTAATTTAATTTTATTTGTGAACATACTGTACAGAGGAGTTACAGTTACATGGGCAGGATAATGCGTACATTTCTTACCAAGCATTGCAGCCTCCTCCTTTGTTTATCCTTCACATCCCTTCCCAGCCTCCCCCCTCCCCCCCTAATCCCAATCCTTCTCCTCCCCCTCCCCCCCCCCCCCCCCCCCCCCCCCCCGCACCAACGTTGTAAAGCTCGTTTTGGACATGACAACTTGTACTTCTCATTGTTGCAACAGGTCCACCTGTATCCTTAAACAACTGGTTTTTCCCCATCTCCTCCACAAGTTATACTGACATCAAATATAGTGAAAGCAGGGGTTATACTGTGGAGGAGGGACATACAAAGCAACAAAGAGATAATCTTATAAATGTGTTAGAAACACATGCATGAAAGAAAAAAAACATTAAAATACACATCTAAGGGTTCATTTTCCTGACATCACATTATCTGACCTTTTCCGCTTGACTCATACATATACTAGATATTACAAATAAGGGAAACCATGGGACCTACGTTTCTTTGGGCCTGGCTTACTTCACTTAATATAATTTTTTCCAAGTTTTTCCATTTCCTAACAAATGGGGCAATGTCATTCTTTCTGATGGAGGCATAGAATTCCATTGTGTATATATACCACATTTTCTTGATCCATTCATCTACTGAGGGGCATCTGGGTTGGTTCCATATCTTAGCTATGGTAAATAATGCTGCAATAAACATAGTTGTGCTGGTAGCTTTAGTGTGGTCTTGTTTGTAAACATTAGGGTAAATGCCCAAAAGTGGGATTGCTGGGTCATAGGGGAGCTCTATGTGAAGTCTTTTGAGGAACCTCCATACTGCTTTCCAAAGTGGTTGAACAAGTTTACATTCCCACCAACAATGAAGTAAGGTTCCTTTCTGTCCACATCCCCTCCAGCATCTGTTGTTGTTAGAGTTCTTGATTTTTGCTGTTCTAACTGGAGTGAGGTGATATCTCAATGTTGTTTTGATTTGCATTTCTTTTATGGCTAGGGATGTTGAACATTTCTTCATGTGTCTATTGGCCATCCTTCTTTCTTCTTCAGAGAAGCTTCTCTTTAAGTCTTTAGCCCACTTACTTATTGGGCAGTTGTTTCTTTGAGGATTTGTTGTTGGGTGGTTTAATTTTTTGAGTTCCAAGTATATTTTAGATATGAGACCCTTGTCCGTTGTATGGCTAGTAAAGATCTTCTCCCAGTCCGTGGGCTTTCTATTGATCTTGCTAGCTATGTCATTTGCCCTGCAGAAGCTCTGCAACCTTATACAATCCCATTTGTCCAACCTTTCTTTGATTTGTTGTGTTTCCTGGTCTCTATTCAGAAAATTTCGGCCTGAGCCAAGGAGACCCAGGGTTTCTCCTATTCCATCCTGTAATGTTTTCAGAGTGTCTGCTTTGAGTTCAAGGTCTTTGATCCATTTGGAGTTGATTCTGGTGCAGGGTGATATATAAGGATCTAAGTTTAGTTTTCTACATGTAGTTAACCAGTTTTGCCAGCACCATTTACTGAAGAGGCTGTCTGTCTTCCATTCTATTGTTTTAGCTCCCTTATCGAAGATTAGATGGCTATAGGTCTGTAGGTTCATTTCTGGGTTTTCAATTCTATTCCATTGGTCCTGAGGTCTGTTCTTATGCCAATACCAAGCTGTTTTGATTACTATGGCTTTATAGTAGAGTTTGAAATTTGGTATTGATATTCCTCCAGCAGTGTTCTTTCCGTTGAGGAGCGTTTTTGCTATTCGGGGTCTTTTATTGTTCCATATGAATTTTTGGATTGCCTCTTCTATTTCCTTGAAGAATGAGGGTGGAATTTTGATAGGTATTGCGTTGAATTTGTAGATAGCCTTGGGGAGTATTGCCATTTTCACGATGTTAATCTTTCCAATCCAGGAGCATGGGAGGTTTTGCCATTTTTTAAGTTCTGTGTTGATTTCCTTTTTCAAGATTTTAAAGTTTTCATCATAGAGGTCCTTCACTTCTTTAGTTAAGTTAATTCCGAGGTATTTTATTTTTTGTGGGGCTATTACAAATGGAGTTGCTTTCCTAATTTCAGCCACACTTTTCTCATTGTTGGCATACAGAAAAGCCATTGATTTTTGGGGGTTAATTTTATAACCTGCTACTTTGCCAAAGTTTTGAATCAGCTTGAGTAATTTGGGAGTGGAGTCTATGGGATTCTTTAAATACAAGATCATGTCATCTGCAAAGAGGGAGAGTTTTATTTCTTCTTTCCCTATTTGGATCCCCTTTATGTCTGCATCTTGTCTTATTGCTGTAGCTAGGCATTCTAATAGTAGATTGAAGAGAAGTGGAGAGAGTGGACATCCTTGTCTTGTTCCTGAGTTAAGAGGAAATGGCTTTAGTTTTTCACCATTAAGTATAATGCTGGCTGTAGGTTTGTCATATACAGCCTTTATTGCATTGAGGAATGTTCCATGGATTCCTAATTTTTCCAAAACCTTCATCATAAAGGGGTGTTGGATCTTGTCGAATGCTTTTTCTGCATCTATTGAGATAACCATGTGGTTCTTATTCTTGCTCCTGTTGATGTGATGAATAATATTAATTGATTTGCGTATATTGAACCAGCTTTGCATCCCTGAAATGAATCCTGTTTGATCGTGGTGTATGATGTTTTGGATGAATTGTTGAAGTCGATTGGCCAAAATTTTGTTGAGAAGTTTTGCATCAATGTTCATCAAAGAAATGGGTCTATAGTTCTCTTTCTTTGATGAGTCCCTGCCTGGTTTTGGGATGAGGGTTATGATGGCTTCATAGAATGTGTTCGGTAGTGAGCTTTCTCTTTCAATTTCATTGAAGAGTTGGAGGAGTATTGGTGTGAGCTCTGCTTTGAAGGCCTTGTAAAATTCCGCTGTAAAACCATCTGGTCCTGGACTTTTCTTAGCTGGGAGGTCTCTTATTGCTGTTTCTATTTCAATGCTTGATATGGGCCTGTTAAGCTGGTTTAACTCATCTTGGTTTAGTTTTTGCATGTCAATATTTGCTAGGAAATGGTCCATTTCTGTCAAGTTCTCAAACTTATTAGCATAAAGTTTTGAGAAGTATTCCCTTATAATGTTCTGAATCTTGGTTGTTTCCGTGGTGATGTTTCCATTCTCATCTCTGAGTTTATTAATTTGGGTGTGTTCTCTTCTTTTTCTGATAAGATTTGCTAAGGGTCTGTCAATTTTGTTAAGTTTTTCGAAGAACCAACTCTTTGTTTTGTTGATTCTTTCTATAGTTTTTTTGGATTCTAATTCATTTAATTCTGATTTAATTTTGATTATTTCTTTCCGTCTACTGGATTGGGGTTTATCTTGCTGCTCTTTTTCAAGGAGGTTTAGATGTGTCATTAAATTGCTAGTTTCAGATCTCTCTAATTTGTTGATGTAGGAGCTCAGAGCTATAAACTTGCCTCTGAGTACTGCCTTTGCTGTGTCCCAGAGGAGCTGGTAAT